TTGACTTCCATGCTGGAGCAGGGGCCGCTGTGTACAATGTCACTCACCACAGCACAAGGCAACGTAGCATATTCCAGATGCTGTCCTCATTTTTCAAGATTTGGGTTTAGTCAAATACCTGCAAAACATCAATGACTCTCACTTTTCTATTGCTTTGATTCGAGCGTGTTCAGATTTCTGCCAGATACTTTCCCCATAGAAATAAGTCAGTTCTCCAAGGAGGCATGGCTTGAATGGGCAGGAGCCTGCAGCTACAGCCTCAGAAAGGATGGGCCAGTACACAGTGCTGGGCTCTGCTTGAGGGACTTGGGAGAAGAAGGCAGGGCAGAGAGCCAGGAGTGCCTTGAGCACTTTTGCAAGCAGCAAGCTTGTTTGTAGCAGCAAGAGCCATTGCTGGCTGGTGACTTTTCGGGGATCAAGGCATTGCTTAAGTCTGAACAAAGTAAGTAGAGGAAGCAGAAATGCGTGTAGCCCAAACTCACCTTCAGAGCTCATCTTAGATGTGCAGTGGTTGGACATCCCTTCCTTGGGGATTCCTGCAGCCTCCTTCCCATTTGGTCACAAGGCTCCCAGTGCCTCTCTCCTTGGCATAGCTGAGCCTCTGAAGAATGTGAGACGATGGTATTTCGCACTGCTATCTGGATCTTTTCTGAGACCTAGGATCTGTTTTCTCGCGGCTTAGCAATATCATGTTTCTCTTCTCTAGCTTGCTTGCCAAATACCAAAGTCTTTTGGACAGAATTTGGTCCTTTGTGGCTCTGTTTCTCTTTTGGGGCCATTTAAACCATGTTTCTTGTATTTGTCTTCCATATTGATGTAATCGTTTTCCCCTTTTATAAGATCTGAATATGACATACTGGTTTCCATCCCTGAAGCTTTTTTGTAAAAGAAGGTGGGAGTAGCGGCGCAGTTATTTTATGGATTGAGAACTCATCAGTCTGATCCAAGGACGTGTGAAAGCAGGCTGAGCAGAGCAGACTAAACCACAGGGTAGAGCCTTTCCCACCAAGCTCTTCTGCTTCCAAAACTGCAGGCTTCTCTCAGAAATGAGCTTTTTTTGTTTCATAAGGTGCTACTGGAAAAAACTTCGTTAACGTTTCTGCATTGCTTACAAAACGTGTGCTACTGTGTAAGTGGCCAGTGGTGGCAGTGAGTGGGCATGCTCTGCGTGCAGAAAGTTTAATGTCTCCCCCACATAGCTTGATCTGATGGCCAGTGCTTATTTCAGTAAAGTGTTGCTAATTAGGCCTGTTTCTTTTAGTATTCATGACACTATTTTTCTGAAAGATTTAAGCATGGATGGGAGGAATGAATCTCTGGAGCTAATAAAAACTAATAGCATAGCAAATAGTCCCTCAGAAACTATTAGGCTTGGAGTAGTTCTCCTTGGAGACATCTTAAATGTAAAATTATACCATGTCCTTTTAAATAATGTTAGCCTTTCTGCAGTGATTTTCATCCAGCTTGAGTAATTTGACATCAAAAAAAAGGAACCAAATTAAAACAGATGCTTGGCATGAATAGGGCTTATTTTTAGAAGGAAATATTAATGAAATGGAAACCTGTACATTTTCCAGCGGCACAGAACTGCAGAACTCTATCTCTGTGATGCTTTCGTTGGAATTAATATTGTGGATGTAAATCCCACCTGAAGATAGTTCCACCAGTGGTGCCCTGAATTTTCAAATATATCATAGATATGGTGTAGACATAATGTGCAAAGGGACACAAAATTAATTCGCCCCTTGCTCATCTCTCCCCTCCCAGAACAGGAAAGGATTTCTACAGGGAGTATCACATCACACTGTGTTAGATGAATCTCTTCTTAAATGTGATTAACCCTTGCTTACACTCCAAACAAGCTTCAAAAAAAAAAAAAAAAAAAAAGTGAAAATATATAGTCAAAGCCCCGCCACCCACTTTTTCTCCATGCCTGTGCTGCAGGATGTACCTTTAATGCTTCCCAGTGTTTGTGGTTGATCTTGTGGAATAAATCCACCAAAATAAAATGGAGAATTTTTGCTGCAGTCCACCGTAATGACACACACCAGTGTTAAGGGTTAACCCCCAGTGCCAGGATTAGGTAGGCTGAGCTTTCCCAGGAAGGGAGGTGGCTACCATTGCCCATTTCAACTGTGATTAGACAGAGCTTTTGTGTCCTCTTTCACTTAAGGGGAAAAATCAAGTCAGAGCCACGCAAATGTTTTGATGCAGTCTTGTTTGTTCATGAAAGATGCACAAAGCCTTTTCTCCCCAGCAGCAGCGAGCAGTTTCCTTGCTGCCAGCTCCAGCTTGCCCTGGCCAGAGCCCCATCCTTTCTCCTCAGGCCCATATCCCTGCTCTTCCCATCACGGCATCTCGTGTTTCTTTCCTGTCTTCTTTCTCACTCTGTTGCTCTTCTCTCACTCTTCCCTTTAGGCTGTTCACTTTCCAGGCAGCAAAGACAGTTAAATTGTCACATCCCACCTCTTGCCTTTTTTCCAGTCTCACAACCGGAGTGATGGAGAACTCCATGTGAGAAACACAGCCTGGTGCAAGGTCACCCAGGTTCATTTCGGCTGTTGGAAAAGGCACTCTGCAGGAAGAGGGCTAATTCCTGCCCAAAGCGGATTAAGGAGTGCTCACCCATACCATTTCTCTGGCAGGGCTGGGAAGGCTGCAAGTCCCAGCTGGTGGGTGGTATCCAACAGCTAAGGACTGTAACATCTGCTCATGGTGAAACTAAATCCAGAAGACGAAATTTGTCTACACAGTTGGAGGCACGCAAATACCTTCACCAAACTGGAACAGGCAAAGAGAAATCTATACTGTCTGTATAGGTGCTGTGCTAATTTCAGCAAGGCTTTACCCACGCAGAACTGTATCGATACTCTCTTTTATACTCCTCAGTCCACTCTGGCAAGACTGAAGACACTGAAAATCCATTAGTAAGGGAGAATTGTGTGATTTTTTTTTCCATGCAAAAGATTTGTAGAAGGACTTGTAAAAACTGGCCAGGCACATCAATTAGGATTTTGAAAATATTCTCTCCTGATCCTTTCTTCTTGATAAGAGTTCAATATTGTGCTTTGATGGAGCTCAACTCATTTTAAAATATCATGAGGTTCTTGCCCTAAATTCCACTGAAGAAAATGCACCTTTTCCTTCAGCTCGTCAGAGAAATACACAAAGGATGTGATGGTCAAAGAACACGCAAGTCCCCTGTTAGAACAAAGGACACTGTTGCACGTGCTGAGCCTATTTTACTCTGGAATTGATTCAGCCACTGTTTAATCCAGGTGACTTTCTAAGCATTCCCTGGGTGTCCAATACATAGAGAAAAGACTATTTGTGGTTGTATTTATGAGGAGTCATTCAATCAGGGTTTCATTGGCTTTTTGACAATGTCTCTACTAAACTGGGAGAACATCATTCTAAGGAGAAATTGCTATAGCGTTTTTTTCCACTCACCTGTTTTTGAGTTTCTCCCCTCATTTATTCAAATGGGGTTAGCAGCCATCCATCTGTATCAGCTCCCCGTTGCCCTTTGGCTTGTCACAGTGCTCTTAATTCAGAATCAAATCGCTGATGTGGCTTCAAAGTCATCCCTAGACCATGGACAACCACTGACCATCATTATCACTGCAAGTGCATGCCAGTCATGATGACTATGAAGCCTCGGATACCTATTCAAGTAGGCACTAGTATGGCTGATGGATTAAATTCCAGACATGTACTTAAATGCGTATCACTGTAATTAAGCCACAAAAATGCATGCAAAAGCAGCCAGGCATTTATCCTCATTAGCAAAAGGGATTTTTAAAAAGTTGTTTCCCTGCAAACACCATTGTTTTAAATCTATCCGCTGTGCCTAGTTCTTAGAGAGAACTAACCACGTTTAAGCTTGGAAGCCTTGAAATCCAAGCCACTAATGGAATTATGAACTTCTGAAAATGCCTCCCATTCCTCTTCTGTGAACCTGTTATTCAAAAGTACTGCTGCTGTTTTCTAGTGATGAGAAATTTGTGCCAAAATACTTTACTCCTAATGAGTTTCTAGTAGAATGAGCCTTTTGCCATTCACTGTGCAGTTGCATTTGAGATTCCAAAACACAGAGATCTCCCTTGGATTACTTTATAGCTCCTTTTGTTTCATATTTATCATTTAAATCTGCAATGTGAGAATCATTAATCAGTGCTCCCAACTGGGCAAATGATCGAAGCTCTTTGATTCACATCCCAAACATAGGTAACAGAAGCATTGACGAGAAGTTGGTGCCATCCCAACAGCAGGCTTTCCATGCGGTGATACTCTCTAAGCAGCGGTTTTTCTGAGACCTGCTGCTGGTAGACCAAAAAGTTTTCATGTCTCACTATATTGCCTGATATTGCAAAAGATGCTGAGTAGAGAAAAGTGACGCGTAGAGCAGACTTCTTTCTACCTTAGCAATGGGCAGAGTTTGGTTACATGGTCAAAGGCAACCTCTGGCCACTCTCTTCTTCCTTACAACAGCATGGCCCAAAAAGCCAAGTGGTGACCAAAAGCCCAGTTCAGGTGTTCCCTGACAGTAAATGTCTCTACATTTTAATTTCTGAAAACCCACCTGACAAGTAATTTCTATTCATTTATCAGCAGATCTACAAGCATATGCTAATATTATGAACGTATCCATTTTTTTATGTCAAAGAGGTAATTGTAAAACTATTATCATTTTTAAAGTCTTCAGGTTGTTGGATTTCTAAATGATGCTTCTTGTAACTGCCATTATTTACAGGCAAACAAAACTATGGGCATCAAAAAGAGGGCCTACACCTTCAGAATCTAAATGAATTATTGCTCCATGTGGCTTTGGCAGATAGTCAGCGTGGTCCTCATTTGCACAGGGTTTGACCTGTCCTCTCCTAGAATAATAATTAGTAGAAGAATTTTAAATATTAATTTGTTTAAACCATAGAAATTGCTTCTTTTGTGCTTAGTGCTCCTAGCCCGTATCTTACTACACTGTGCTTCACTTATTCCAGATAATTGATAAGAGCAAGAGAGACCCCTCTGAAGAAATTGAGATCCTCTTGCGATATGGACAGCATCCAAACATCATTACACTTAAGGATGTAAGTAGTCTTTAGGTGCTTCAGTATTAAATCATTTTCACCTTGTGATCAGGCTCACCTACTAATCTGTGTCTGGAAAATTCTCTGGTTGAAGGTCAGAGCTAAAACCAGACCCATCAAAATCAAGGACAAAGAACCGTGACGCTAAAATATTCCTAGATAGCAATTGGAAAGACTGATTAGGTTATACATTCTCCAACGTCTAACCAACTGTAGATAAAACCATTTATCTTTTGTGTTTTAATGCCACGGTGTATTTACCTTCTACTAAAGCAGCCTGAGAAGATATGAAGATATTTTTCTTCAGCGTTTCATATGAAGAAGAGCCTTCGTTTTGCTTACTTGTGGTGAAGACCTTTAGTCAGAGATGTTTTACTCACGCTGCCTTCAGTCTCACCTAGGATTGTCCACATTCAGAGTTACAGAACAAAATCCTTCTAGTGTCACTGACGAGTACGTTACTGTTCAGACCTTAGAGACGTATATAAAAAGTTTCTAATCACATACCCTCAGGAAAGTCTCACCTAATTCCTATTACAGAGTATCTTAAAATCTGTGCAAAAAAGATTTTATATTCCTTTACAAAAACATTTAGCACTGACAACTTGAACACCATCTATTATCTCAGCCCAGATAAAGGATTGTGACATGAAATTGGCCATCTTCCAATTTAGACCAAAAAAAAAAGTCTTTTTCCCCTTGCAATTGATATTGAAAGTAAATACATCTTGCAGGTGATGTCAACAATATATTCACCAAAACTGCACATATAAGTTTTTTCATTGGAAGCAGGTCTTGGCGAACAGAATAATGCAGTTCATTTAACTGGCCATGAGTCAAAGGGAAATATTGATGTCTGAAATGGCAAATGTTACCCGGGGGAAGTGCAAAGAGAGAACGCTGCTGCGGAGGAGGCTTGGGTGAGAGCCAGTCGACATTTCAGGCTGGGTGAAGAGCTGCTGCCTTTAGCAGCTCAGTCTACTCTGCTGCCGTCATAGCAGGTCAGGAAAGCTGCGTTTGTGTGGGGACAAATCAGCAAGTTGCTGCAGTCACGAGAAAAAAGTGATGATTAAGTCATTTTATAAAGTTGCCTTTTCTGTTGTTAAGCATAATAAGCTCATCTCCCACACAATCAGCTGACATTTTCTTCCGGCAACATCTCAACACAAGCAAGCCAACACTGGGATTAAAGGACCGACCTTCACCAAGGTAATGGGTCCAAAGCATCTCTTTATTCTATTACTCTTCCAGGTCTATGATGATGGGAAATATGTGTACCTGGTGATGGAGCTGATGCGGGGAGGAGAGCTCCTGGACCGCATTCTTCGGCAGAAGTGTTTCTCGGAGCGAGAGGCCAGCGCTGTGCTGTGCACCATCACCAGGACTGTGGACTACCTGCACTCTCAGGGCGTAAGCATTGCATTGTTGGCTATCAGCATCAACCTTCTTAAAAATCCAGCTTGTAGAAAAAGCAAATAGCTGTGATTTTGCTTCTCTGAAATGTAAATAAGTTCTTTCCAAAAAAAAAAAAAATAAAAGTCTTTCCTCATATTTATAATCACATCTGGTTTGTGAAATAGGGTCATAGGCTTTTTAGCCATTTCCCAGCTGAACTGCAGTATGCTGAAGTGGTGTTTTCATCCCCAAATTGCACTGATTTTCAAGTTCATGGACCTCATTGAGATATTAGTTGTTTCCTTTTTATCACAATCATTATTGCAGTAACTGATCTTTTAACAGAATTTTACATAGGGTAGATGAATCAGCAGACAGGTAGAAAATCAGGTGCTCAGCTTTCCAAATGAAGTGGCAGGTTGAGCAGCCGTTGGGAAAGGTTTCTGACATGCCGTTAAGGAATTGGCTTTTAAATATCTACAGTGGTTTGAAAAACTCTCCTTTCTGCTTCTCAGGGACAAGCAGTTTGGATGACTAGTCAAATACTTGCCACTTTTTTTCTGTTTTATGGTTAAAACAAGTGCATTTTGTGCTTGGGCTTTTATGTTTTCATGATAGTTTTTCAGCCCTGCTATAACCCATAAAGGCTGTTTTCCCACCCCTGAAATGCAGGTAAAATACGCCGACACCGACACTTACAGCAACCCCCTCTGACTGCCCTCGGGAACCGTGTCCCCGCTTAGAGCAGCAGCCTCCGTCTTAATGCACCAGCAGAGGCTGGCAAACACGTTCTTTCTGATTTTAACAGACTTCCACTTTTTTTTTAATTATTATTCATTTGCCCAAGGCTTTTAAGCAACTTTTCTCCAAAACTTAAAATATTTTAGGCATGAGCTCTGGACCTAGCTCAAGCAGCAGACCAGAGATGGCATCCAAGCCTGGATGCTCCCTGACCTGCTCTCCTCACTTGGGACTCACTGCTTTCTTCTTCAGGTGGTGCACCGAGATCTCAAGCCAAGTAATATCCTTTACATGGATGAGTCAGGAAACCCAGACTCCATCAGGATCTGTGACTTCGGGTTTGCCAAGCAGCTGAGAGCAGAGAACGGGCTGCTCATGACTCCCTGCTACACGGCCAACTTTGTTGCCCCTGAGGTAGGATTGCATTTCAAAGCCGTGAGTAATGAGCGTGTCTTAGGAAGCAGTCCTTCTTCCCTCTCTCCCTTTTCCTCACTGCCTTGACAAGAGGAGCAAGGCAGAAACCAGGCTAACAGCACTTGCACAGCCTCTCTTACCATAAGCTTCCTATTCCTGGGCTTGTCAGGCCAGCTGCTTTTCTCCTGACTGAAGCAAGGGTCTGTCTTGGATGGATGTACACAATGCTTTGGCTCATGACTAGGATAAATACCTTTTTTTCTCTAGCTGCTTCTGCTCAGACTGCTTCTCTCTAGTGCACTGCAATCAAAACAGGACAAGGCTTAAGAGGGAAATCTTGATGTCAGGAATAAGACTCATGAGAAAAATCCATGCATGGGATCCTTACCACGCTGCAGTCAGTGGGAGCTCTGTCACTGACTTAACTGAGTTAAGAAACATCTCTTCTAGGTTTTCCTAGTACCCTGTTATGGGGGATGCAGGAAAGGGCTGCTTTCCCATTTGCACAGGTGGGAAGACCAAAGAGCTTGCCCCAAGCGCAGGGAGAGGTGGCTCTGCGTTGCTGGTGGGTGCCGTTCCTTTCACACAGCCCCTTCAGATGTTCCTAGCTGCTTCCTTCTGATGAACGAGCAAGAGATTAATTTCCTGGGTAATTGTCCATTTCTTGAAGTGATGCTTATTAGCAATTTTAGTATATTTTTCAAATGTGTGTCTGCCTCTGCTTGTTATGGTCCTTAAATGAAAAATATGAAACTATTGCCTTCCAATACTTCATCTGTCCTCTACTGTCAGAAGCCACTTTCTTTCAGCTGGTATCATTCTGCAATCTTTTCTCCCCCATAACTCTCCTTCATCCAATGTTCATCTGTGTGGTACATAACCAGGAAGGGAAAAATGGGATGATCTTTCTGTACAAGGTCCTTTCGCGATACCAAAAGATACCGGGATCACAGCCTTCCAGTATCAGAAGGAGAATTTGTTAAATCGAGACCATTACCAGGGGCAGTATAAATTCAAAGCAGATTTTTTTTGTAGCAAAAATCCTCCATTGCCAAGACAGATTGGTTTGTTATTTTATTGCTGCTTTGGTGGCTTTTCATTTTAGAAACTGGAATGAGCTGCTTAAAATTTATCAAAATAAGTAAAAAAAAAAAAAAAAAAAAAAAAAAAAAAAAAAAAAAAAGTTCCGTGGCACCACAGCAGTTCAATTTCTAAACCAAAAAATAACATGTATGCAAGATTTAAAGCACTTGGATTTTCTCCAAGATATAATATGTCCAAAGTAGGTATAGCTCTTTTTCAGGATGGGCTATTTCGTACAGTGTCTGTAATCACAAACATTGCCAGCCCAACGATGTTTCAGGTCAGACTCTTCTGATTCGAACTGAGAGCAGAAATCATGCTCCCAGACGTTTGTGATGATTACGACAGGTCCTGCTAATGCAGCAAACATTGGAGATTAATCGAAACATTACCAGAATTGGCAGAGAGCTTGCATAAAGCCTTGAGTGCTTTTACATTTTACCTGTGATATAGCACTGCCCTCCAGCCTAGACCTTCCTCGTCCCTGTCTGAGCCGCGCTGCGACGTCCGCTGTGTGCCCATGAAACGAAACCAGAAGGCAGAAAGTCAGCAGAGCTGATGACCCAAGAGGACAGTGGCGAGGGAAGGATGATATGTTTGCCTAGTTGGATCTCCCTTTATTTTGGAAGCATTCAGAGGAGAGCAGGAGGGAGGATGAAGGCTCTCTGCGAGAAGATGCCCGCTGCCACCTACTGCGAGTCCCGCTGTGCGCAGGGAGCTGGAGCCAGGCTGGGGCAGGGGGGGATGAACCCCCTGCTGTCCCCTGACCGATGCAGCAGGCTCCTTTGGGGTACAGTAAAAGATTTCGTTCTGCAGTTTTCCTCCAAAATCCAGGAAGAACTACTGTTTTGGTATTTGAAATGAGGAGATGGTTTATCAGCTTTTATACCCATGTGCTTGTGTCGCAACCAAGAAAAGCCCGTATTTGTGACATCGTTAATTCAACAAATCAAAGCCTGCAGGAATAAAAGAGGTTTGGATAAACGTCTGAGCCATTCTCAGAACTGAAAGAACCCAGAGGAAGTTTGTTCTTTATCACCACAGTGCCCTGCCACGTGTAGAGCTAAGAACCAGTTTGTGCCTGTGTTTCAGATCCCAGCTCCAGGTGAGCTAAACCCCTTCATGGGTGGTAAATTCTTCAGCATCCATTAGAGTAGGACACCAGTCCATCTTCTGCAAAGCTCTTTCTCTGACTGTTTTATTTCTAAGACAGACGCCTGTTCCTGTTTGATAATATCTGTCCCCTCCTCCCCCCCATCAAACACTGATTTTTTTGGCCAAACTTTCCAACATTTGCTCCTGTGTTCTCACTTTAACCACACGTGCACAGACCTGCTGGAGACATTTTCAAGTAGCAGCGACACTTATTGGTAACTCTTGACTCAATCCTGTTTTTATCCGTGGGGTGAAGTTGCTGTCGATAAAAAGTAATTCCCAGCAAAGCTTTCCCTAGACACTGGCACAGGGTGAATACCCCTGTGATCTTGCAGCATGTTTGCAAACTGAACGCTAGCCCACAGCGACACCTGCCCATCATTTTGGGGTTGTGTAATCACTTGCTCGATACCCTGCTCCACTAAATATCACTGCCCCATTTGCGTTGGACTCGATTGTCCCTGGTTATTGGAGGAAGACAGCGATGGCAAATGTAACTGTTCAACAAGCAACAAGAACAGCCACACCAAAAGATAAATGTTGGGCATGCAGTCTCACCGGTGAAGCAAGAAGCAAATGTGTTTGTCAAACAGCAAAGAATTTTTTCCCATAAAAACTAATATAATAGAGGGAGAATGAATGCAGGAACTAAAGAAATAGAAACAATTAAGACAGTCAGACAGAATATATGATGGGCAGGAGAGAGAAGCCGAAGCAGGATTTTACCAGCTTGGTCAACAGGAGGAAATGCGGCTTTTTCTCCATTTTTTTTTTCCAGGTGGCAAATGTTCGCTCAGCAGCATACCTGGCAGATGGTTGCTTTACCACTCATCATTTGTAAAATCTGTCAAGGCAATATTTTCTGAAACTGTTTATTCCTAGCAGTGCTTGGTCTTTTCTGTGATAAACTTCAGATGGCTGAAATCACTCCTGGGTAACAAGGCTGCATGGACAGAAATAGGCTTGCGGAATTCATACATTCCTTTTTCATGTGTTTTGCAAAAAGTTACTGTATCTACTGATTTGTCAGAAGGGGATGAAACTCTCCTTCTGTGTCAGAACTGAAGAAACAGAAGGGTAGTTTGCTTTTATGAGCAAGTGGAACATCTGGAGGTGGTCCTTGAGCTTTTCTGAGCCAAACAGAAACAAAGTTCTTCCCCTACTCTCAGCGATGCTGCCTCGGCTGGTGACTTCACTTTCTCTTGGACCTGCTCTGCCTCAAATAGGCATGAGCATAAATGAAATCCAGATTTCACCCCTACTGCTCTGACTTGCCATCCTCTACCAACTTTGAACCTACTGGTTAGATCTCTGCTGAGTACCACGGCTCTTGCTTTCCCCCTGGGGAAAAGGGATCAAGTTTTAGCCTGTTAAGTGCAGCCTAAACATGGTCACTTTTCTAAACATAGAAGTAAGACAAGAAGAAGCTTTCTTTGCAGTTGTCATGCTTCTTTACTAGTCTGACTTTAGATATCAGTGTGCATCCATTTGGTGTATCCAGTCCAGCTCAGACGCACCTATCATTGTCACTCACCCATACACTTGTTGCATCCACAGAGTTCTTGGTAATGTTTATTTTAGGAGGATATGTTTCAAAGTATTAGTGAGCTTTTTTTTTTTTTTAGGAAAGATTTTAAAGCACTGAAATAAGCAGAGAGGCTTGTTCTGCTTTGTTGTATGTTAGATGGGCAGAGAAGCTCCCAGAGGCTCCAGCAAGCTGCACTCATTGCTGTCACAGGGGAGGTGACAGCTCTGCTGGGCTTGCACACTAACCTCCTCACTCCAGCCTGGCTTTCACCTTGCTCCGCTCCACTGCTGAACATTTTGCACCTAAGGCAGCCAGACATGAGTGCAAGCCCTGGAAATGTCCATCCACTAATTGGTGCTTTTTGAAGTCTAGAAGCTAAAAATTCAGGAATCCGGGTTAACCTGTTTTCATCTCTTTCTTTGCTTCACATAGGTCCTTAAACGCCAAGGTTACGATGCAGCCTGTGACATCTGGAGCTTGGGGATACTCCTGTACACCATGCTGGCAGGGTGAGCGATGAGTTTCTCCTCGAGCAGCAGCCTGCAGTGGGCTCAGTACTTCAGCACTGCTGAAACCAGAAAGGAGGCACGGACAGACACAGTGAACTGTCTGGCCTCCTTTGAGAAATGTGCTCTGTTGTATGAAGCAAGAAAATAGATGCCAAGACCTAGAATTATAATAAGTTTTTCCTGAACACATAAATATCTCTGACACTTTACAGGTTGTTTCGGTTTTTAACAGCCTGTATCCGTAAGCCTGCACAGAGACATAGACTCCTAAAAGGCTCACTCACCACTTAAGCAGAGTGAAAGTTTTACACCAGGAGAGGAGTGTGGGAGTATGAGGAGCCATAGCATGTTCACCTTATCCATAAGAGGATCTTCATTCATTTCTGTTAATGCATGGATCCTCTCTAGCTTCGTTCTTTTTCGACCGCTGTTGTTATTGAGGTATCTGAGCACCTTTAAAAGCTAAAAAAAAATTTAAAAAAAACCCATATTTTTCAGATGTTATTCGAAAAATATGCTGCAGAAAGGAGTGAAGTAAATGAACAGCAAGAACAGCAACAGGCAGTGGGAACTTTTGGGGACTCCTTCACAAAAAAAACCCCTACCTAAAGTTAAATATTGAAGCAGAAACCCCAGAGAAAGAGACTGAACTAAGCAGTGAAGAACAGGAATAAGATGCACTGGGGTGGATGGGAAACACAGTGTGCAAACCCAGCCTGGAGTTAGCAGGCTCCTGAATTGCCTTTCTCTCGCTGGCTACAGGGTATGGGACATGCACATGTATCGTACCTAAGGGCAGCTTGAAAGTTTTCAGTGACCTCTCACTGCTCTTTAATCTGCTTCATGATCATTCAGCTGTGGCAAGAAGCTTGGATTCATTCCTAGGTTTATACAAAAAACAAAGAGTTGGACCCTGCCTTTCTGTTATTCATGTCTCTTGCCTCCTGGATTATAGAAAAGGTGCCAGGAGTTTCTATCCCATCTATTTAGTTCCTGAGTACAAAGGTGTTCATCATTAGCCGAAATACACTGTGACTTTCTGGGGCAGTCTCCCAGTCTGCTGGGATCTCCGAAACCTGCTTCTGTTCAGCTAACGCCATAGGTTTACGGTGATACACAACCAGAATCAGTAACCTAAAATCAATACATGACCCCACAGGCACATTTGTTGAACTGATTATATTCAAAATGCTTCTTTTTTTTTAAATATGAAAAAATAAATCCCAATATATTTGAATCTGAAACACAAATTACCCAAGTTAGTGGATATTCAATTAGGTGCGATTAGCTCATATCTCACTTTTTTCTGCACTTACAAGAGAAAATAAGAGTAACACGAAGAGTTGAGGAGTGCTGACTTTTTAGGTGCCACCACTGCATTTAGGGATGGTCTTGTTCTTCCTCACCAGAGGAGAGCTGGTAGGAACTGCCCATTATTTGCAGCCAGGATTTTATTCTCCTGCCATCATCACTATGAGCAGAGAGGGCTCAGACAGCCAGCACTGGAGCACAAGCCTGGGATCCTGTGAATGCAGGTCTTAGCACATCCCTCTTGATAGTTCTAGGTTGCAATAATGCTCTGTGTCTCTTTGGGCTGAACTTCTGTGAAACCTGAAATGTTTTTGAAAATGAGAAAATACAGGAGGAGGAATTGAATGTGCTATTAGAAACCAGGTGGGATAGGAAGCTGTGGCCAAGCCAACTGTTGTAACGATCTGAAAACCACTCTGGCAAGCTTTCAGAAGAGAAAAGACAGATGGAAGGAAAAAGTATAAAAATCCCCAATACCCCTTTCTTCTAAGCCTGCACAGCTGTTCAAGACTGCAGAGTAAAATTTGGCCTGGTAGATTTTAGTTAGCTGCAAAAATCTTGTCACTTGTCTCTGCATGTGACGCTAATTTTGTAAAGCTGGGTGCACGTTACTAGTCATTTCTGACTGGCTAGATCAGGAAGTAACCTGTTGCAGATGATTTGTTTTGCCCAACAGACTTGCACATTACGGTTAACAAAGCATTGCAAAATAGATTATAAAGGGTTCTCTTTTCTTATTGTTTTTTTTTTTTCTGTTTCAGATCCTAACTTTTCTCCTTTATTATTTTTATACTTTCTTGCCATTGTCAAGGTACTTCTATTGGCAATAGATAATAAATAAAAATAAAATAAATAAAACAATTTAAAAGGTAAAAACCTGTATATTTTTCAAAAAGAATATTTCTTTCCTTAAAAAGTGAGAACAGAACAAAAATGTTAAAAAAAAACAAAAAAAAAAAACAAAAAAAAACAGTTAAGGAATCAGTCCTTTCCTCTGTAGAACAGCTTACTATGAGAAACCACCAGGCTGTATAGTTTGAGTGAAGATGATGCAGCGATGCCTGTCGTCCATTCTGGAACCAAATTCCTGTTGTGATCGGTGGCAGTTAGCGCTAGATCCTAGAAATCGTATACTTGCAAGTTGCACGGTATTTTTTTCTCTTTAATAGGTTCACTCCTTTTGCAAATGGACCAGATGACACCCCAGAGGAGATTCTGGCCAGGATTGGCAGTGGCAAGTATGCACTTACAGGAGGAAACTGGGATTCAGTGTCTGATACTGCAAAGGTCAGTGAACCCTTTCTCAGATTTTTTTTTTTCTTGTTCTCTGAAAGGAGCTTGCAGCCTGCAATTGTAACAAACTAAAGAGGGAGACAGAAGGGTTATTTCTCAGTGCCTCATGAAATAAAAGCTTGCTTCTTTATGCTTCTACCACTCTGTGTGAAATAGTGGTTAGGAATTTTGGTAGTTTATTCCATTAAACTAAGGCATAATATAGCACCATCAATTGTGAATCCTCTTAACATGAAAATAGCACAGAACTTGTTTGGTGCAACTGAACTTTTAAAAGCAGTGTAGAGTAGACAATGCAACAAATTCCTGGTCTATATGCTCCTCAGAGTTAATCAGACACAGGCAGTTTCTAAACTAGCATTTTTAGCTCCGGTACAGTTCACAGTTTAGGCTGCCTGTCCATCACAAAGCATGGAAACCCCGGAAGATAACGTTTGTCTGGTGCCAAGACTTTTGGTCATGAAGCTGTCCACTGGTCTGTGACACAGGTAGATGGGCAGGAAAGCTGGCAACCTTCCAGTTGCCTGGCATTAATCAGAAACTTTGACAGGATTTAGATATTCCCACAAAGAGATTTCAGTTTTAGCAACTGGTAGTATCCGATGGAAGAACATTGATGTATCCCATCACAAAAATGCAAGCAATGCCAGTAACTTATTCATCTTGCTGCCAACACTTACAAGCCTCACAGCTGATTTTTTATTAGTTGACCAGTTTGGAAATTAAAATGTTCAAATGTGGTAGAACTGATCTCATTGAATTTTAGCCACTCAGATGTTAGATTTCTATTCTAAGCTTCTCTTGTAAGCCTGCTTTGGAGTCAGGGAAGAGTTGCCTCCAGATGGCATCCTCTCTATGTGGAGCTTATCACCCCTACCAGGTCACCAATAATTAACACTCACTCAATAGGCTGAATACTCTCCACGTTATCTTCTGACTGGATTAGCAGCTGAGAGTTGAGCATTACTCTTGTAAATTTTGAAGATCAGACTTTAACACTTAAAAAATATAAAGCATATTGAAAGTGCGTCCCTCTCTCCATTGGACATGCTGGTGATGACATGGCCACCGGCAAGATCTTAGTACAATCTGTTCTGCTACTAATTACCTTTTCCCTTTTACTGTTTTCTTCCTCGGAAACCCAGGACATTGTGTCAAAGATGCTTCACGTAGACCCCCATCAGCGCCTCACAGCAGTCCAAGTCCTAAGGCATCCCTGGATAGTGAACAGGGAGTATCTGTCTCAAAACCAACTCAGCAGACAGGACGTTCACCTGGTGAAGGTACATCCCTACCCTCCTGCCTCCTTCTTCTTTGCAGAATGAGCTGTCCTGTGTGTAAACATTCTGGAAACTGAGAGAAGAATTGGGAAGATTATTTGCCACACAGGCCAAATTTCATATGGCACCATATTACCAGTAGAGATTTTTGACATGTCACCTGCTCGATATTTTTAACTCCGGGCTGTGTTTGAACGACCTGGTGGCACTCTGTGCATGTACTGCTAGCCATCACTTTGAATCCGAGACACCCCAGCTGAAATGTTGCTATTTCATGGGAATTAATCATAGAATCATAGAATGTTTTTGGTTGGAAAGGACCTTAAAGATCATCTAGTTCCACCCCCCCTGCCATGGGCAGGGACACCCTCCACTAGACCAGGTTGCTCA